ATGTATAACCTTTTTAAAGTTTAAGGATTAATTTAAAATAGATACAATAGTTTGGGGACTTTTTTTATGCAATTAACTCAAAATATTATTAAATATTTTATAAGAGTATTTATGGTAACGTTTTCGTTTCTTTAATATATTTATGGCAAAGTTAAATGAACTCATAGAATAATTATTTAAGTATTAAATTGACATTAGTTAAAGCAACTTACGATAATTGACGAACTCGTGATTTTTAAGATCAATAGCCATTTCTTTAATAATTAAAGTAAATTGAGTCGTGTTAATCATGATCAAATTCACTTAAACTATTTAATGAATATAAAACATAAGTGATTATTATTTATTTTACTTATAATTGGGTAGATTAAATTATTTTAGAATTTATTGCTAGTGTAAATTATTTAAAATGAATAGATTAATTTTTCATATATAGATTTAAAAATATTCATGTTTTTTCCATAAATTTTTCTTTTTTAACATATATTAATAGAAAATTTATAGTATCAATGAATCTAGATGTTCGTCATCTCTTAAAAGAAATTATAATATTAAGTTGTAAATATGATTATATTGTTATATAACATATATCGATTGTCACACACAATTTAGCTTTTATGTTAGTCATAAGAAGAAATAAATAACGAGTATCAAATTTCTTTTAAAATTATAAAATCAAACAACAACAAAATCTATTATCTTTTAGGATTTTAGGACTTTCTCATATTTGAGGGTTTAGGGTGTTCTATTAAAAATTCGAATGATGAGAAATATTCTTTCGAGAAGCAAATAATATATCTCAAAACTAGTTTCATCAGACGAACGTTGGAGGAGATCAAAAAATTAAAACATTAAACTTCTAGATGATTTTTCTTCTATTATGAGTGAATTTCGTGGGGAATTAAGTTGGTGTAAATATTTTGGTACTGATCTTGTCGTGAATGACAACAAATGACAAGCGGCGATTAACCGACAATGATTATTAAAGGAGTTGACGAATTTCTACATGAGTCAAATTGATACGTAAACTAAAATTCAGTTGAAGTGTTTTAAAGTTTAATGACAAAATCAATACGTATACTAAAATTCACATGGAGAAACGGTCACATCATTACACAGTTAACGATTTAACGATCTAATACTCTTATTAAACTCAAAATTGAAGTTTAATAATAAAATTAAGTTTAAAGTTTAATATAAATACAATATATAACCTAAAGTTCAGTGATACTCGTTGTTGTTTACCCGAATTTAAAACCGGAATACTAACATTGTTATGTTACACTAGGGATATGTCCCCATAATGCTTCCGGTCTGTCTTCCTATTGAACGCTCGTGGAGCACGGAGGAGGCATTGTCTGCTGTAGTTTCTCCCAATTTGCTTATGTTTTCACTTTGAGCATTTTCGAATAATCTGCTGATGTTCCTTTCGTGTTACAAAATATTCGATTCGATGTCAAGATCATCGGTTTATACCTACTTCGGCAAGAACATTCCCGGTAAAGTCGGGCCGGTTATCATCTCCGGGTACAACATGGTTGATGCTAGGTCCAACTATACTTGTACTTCACTCTAATTGTATGGGAGCAACTTTTCAACAACTTGTAGAATAATGTTACCAGTCCTTTGACTTGAGGAAACCTTGCTCTCATCAACTTCATATATCCTATAAAATGGTTAGTTGAATTCGAGTTTGAGTATCAAATACGAATATATATTAGACACAAATACTAAATGATTCGAGTATCGTATCGATATTTCGACTTCAGTGTCATCTATATCTTTAGCTAACTTGTTAGAAAAGCTTGCCAATACAAGGAAAATTGATGCATTTCACATTGATAACTTTCTTTTTTTTGAATTTCCACACACGGGCTGTTGACTGTACGGTCCCCAATATGATTGAAGAGAAATTAATTTGAAGGATAAACTATTCCAAATGTCACTGAATTTTAGGATTTGTAATCAATTTTACTACTGTATTTTAAATTGATTCAATGTTGACACCAAATTACTTTAGTTTCATGTTCAATTAAAGCACTGGATCATTAAACCATTAGCAACCGGATGATATGGTAATTTAGTGTTGACGTGGAAGCCAAAAATATTTTTTATTCCACCTTATTATCTTCTTCGTTAAAGTTAATTTTTTCGTCTATTTTTGCTGTCGCTGTAAATCACCATTCTCCAACGTTTGGTTTAGATTTGGAATCTCTTTAAAACTTACAAAATTGAATAAAAAATCATTTTTTTTATTTGAGGTTGTTTTATTCAAAAATTTGAAAGATGAGAATCATTCTTTCAAGAAGACAAACAATATATCTCAAAACTAGTCTCATCAGACGGTCGTTGAAGGATATCGAAATATTAAAACGTTGAACTTCTAGATGATTTTTTTTCAATTTTGAGCGAATTTATTAGAAAAAACTATCCAATGAGAATAAAGAAGGGTGGAATATTACCATTTTGGTATTGATCTTGTCGCGAATAACGACGGGCGATAAGCGAGCAATAATGACAACTAAAGGAATTGATGGATTTCTATGACCAAATTAATACACAAATTAAAGGTTAATGTCTAAGATTGAAGTGTTCTAAAGTATAGTGACAAAATAAGTACTCAAACTAAAGTTCACAAAGAGAAACGGTCATGTTATCACGTCATCGACGATTTAACGGTCCAATACCCTTGTTAAACTCGAAACTAAAGTTCTATACTAAAATTAAACCAATTTAAATTTTGATGGTGAAAATAATATATAACCTAAAGTTCAGTGATATTCAAAGTAGGTTATCCTAATTTAAAATCTGACTATTGACATTGTTATGTTACACTAGGGGTATGCCCTCGTATTGCTTCCGGTCTATCTTCCTATAGAACGCTCGTCGAGCACAGAGAAAATATTCAATTTGGAGTTGAGATCATCGGTTTATACCTGCTTCGGCAAGAACATTCTCGGTAACGCCGGACCAGTTATCATCTCCGGGGACAACATGGTTGATGCTAGTTCCAACCATACTCGTACTTCACCTAATTGTATGGGAGCAACTTTTCAACAACTTGTAGAATGATGTTACCAGTTCTTTGACTCGAGGAAACCTTGCTATCGTCAACTTCATATATCCTACAAAATAATTATTTGGACTCGAGTTTGAGTACCAAATACAAATATCGGAACGTCGATTTCAATGCCATCTCTATCTTTAGCTAACTTGTTAGAAAAGCCTGCCAAGGCAAGGAAAATTGGTGCATTTCACATTGGTATGTTGACTGCATGGTCCCCCAATATGATTAAAGTGAAGTTAATGACACAAGAAGAGACATTTCTTTGAGGGGTGGGGGGGGGGGGAATCTTAAAACAGCTAAAAAAATTATGGGTTCGTTCCATATGATCATTCAAAGCAATTATGCAATGAAACTTCGAATATTTCTAAATTTTATCTAAACATAATTCGATAATAAAAGAAAGTGCTAGATATACTAAAATTTGAATTCTAAACAAATTGAATTTCGTTTTTTATAATAATTATATGAATAAACTAAATTAAATCCAAACTTTAAATCATAAGAAATTAAATGCGAACTAAATCCGAACTATACTTATGAAAACAACGTTTCACCAACCCTCGATGAACAGCATGAGAAAGGAAAGCTGATAACGTCAATACGAAATCATGCAAACAATATGCAAATCATGTCTTGCTTCTCATTTCAACCATATATATGTATATAAAATTCCTTCTTATCCCTTTCTTTAGATTCTTTAAGCTTCATTCATTCTTCCACGTCGATATGTTGATGCTTTCAAACTTTAATATATATATATATATATATAAAATTTCACGTCGATATTTTTCACTTTGTCTGAAGCTATCTGAATTGCAATATAAATAAATATAATTTAATAATTATTTTTGAAAAACAACTCTAGGTTTGGTAATAGTTAATAAGGTTTTGGAATACTGTGTTATTTATTTATTTTTATTGTTTGTCATATCAAAGGTTTATTATGTCTGCAGCTAGAAGAAAACATAGGATACCCTAATAAAACTGCTTTTTTTAATTAAAAAATTGAATTATTATGAGTAAATTACATAATAGGTCATTCAATTATTAGTAAGAGCATAAGTTTTAAATTGAGACTATTTTTCGAAAGTAACAGAAATCTTTGATCTCGAGATTGAAAACAACATATTTTGAAAATAGAAGGTTATAAGTGATCAAAATCATAATATATGGATTAAATTCACAAAACATCAAATAGTAGGAGGATCTTTTATAAGTTCTACCAAAAAAGACTGGTAACATATCCCGCACTTCCAGACCCCTCCTTTCCATTTCCCCTTTTCTTCATTCATTATTTTTACTTATTTCCCCCTCTTTCTTTCCCTCTTCTGCTTCACTCTTTCCATGGCTTCTTTCCCGTCCTTTCCTTCCCCTGTAAGCCCCAAATCGTTCTTCTCTCTCTCTCTCTCTCTCTCTCTATATATATATATATATATATATGCATATCTATGTATATGTATATATTTTAATTTTTGATGTTATTCTTAAGTTGCCTAGATAGATTTACGATTTGGGTTTACCGTTTTTTAAAATTTTATTTCATTGTTATTTATATACCTTGTATTGGAACTCTGGGTTTTCTTTCTTTTCCCTTTTTTCCTGTGCTTTTTTTTAAGATTGTATTTTGATTTGCCTTTTCTTTTTTTGTATTTGCAGTGACTCGTTCCTTATGGCTGATATGGCTTGGGTTTCGATTTTATCACATATTGGGTTTACTTCATCCATGTACACTCGTAATTTCAAGTGAGGTTTTCAATTCCCAACTTGTAACTTTTTGAATGGTTCTAGGTTTTGTCTAAAGATTTAAGGTTGAAATTAGGTATGGTGAAAAGTGAAAACGGTAGAATTGGTGCAAAATTAAAGAGTTTTTTTTAGGTTTGTGGATCTGGGTTATATTTGTTTGATGACCTTATGAAGGTGTTTGTAATGTTGGAAGCATGGTGAATTAGTAGTAGGGTTTAATTGGATCTTTGTGCTTGTTTTGCAATTTTAGCAAAGGTGATATTGTGAAGTGGGTATGGTGGGCAAAGAAGATGTTCCTGTTAATTCTAGGGCTCCATCATGCCAGCTTTCTGGCTCTCGGAAAATGTTTTGGCGGTCAGCTTCATGGTCTGCATCCCGAACCGGTCTTCAAATTCCTGAAGCTGGCAAAGATCTAGGAGCAGATCCTAATGTTAAGAATGGTACTAATTATGGTACTAATGATGGACAAACTCGCCGGTTTCCTCCTCCTCCCTTAACCCCACGTTCGCAACAGAACTCCAAGGCCAGGTCATGTTTGCCACCCTTGCAGCCGTTGTCAATTGCACGGAGGAGTTTAGAGGAGTGGCCGAAGGCTGGTTCTGATGATCTTGGAGAGTGGCCACAGCCGCCGACTCCTAGTGGGAACAAGAGTGGTGAGAGGTTGAAGCTTGACTTATCATCGATTCAGTGGGGTAATGATAAGAATAGTGGGCTTATGAAGAGGGATAAGATTGCTTCCTTCGATAAAGAATGCTCAAAAGTTGCTCAACATATTTATCTTGGTGGAGATGCTGTTGCCAGGGACATGGAAATACTCAAACAGAATGGGATTACTCATGTTTTGAACTGCGTGGGCTTTGTTTGTCCGGAATATTTCAAGGCTGATTTTGTGTACAGAACTTTGTGGCTTCAAGATAGTCCATCAGAGGATATTACTAGCATACTTTATGATGTTTTTGATTATTTTGAGGATGTTAGGGAGCAGGGCGGAAGAGTTTTTGTTCATTGTTGCCAGGGGGTATCAAGGTCCACATCACTGGTGATAGCATATCTGATGTGGAGAGAAGGACATAATTTTGATGATGCCTTTCAGTATGTAAAGGCAGCAAGAGGAATTGCAGATCCAAATATGGGTTTTGCTTGCCAGTTGTTACAGTGCCAAAAGAGGGTCCATGCTTTCCCTTTGAGCCCCAGTTCTTTATTGAGAATGTATAGAATTGCACTTCACTCGCCTTACGATCCGTTGCACCTGGTCCCTAAAATGCTGAATGATCCATCTCCTTCTGTGCTGGATTCTAGAGGTGCATTTATTGTTCAAATACCTTCTGCAATATATGTTTGGGTTGGTAGAAGCTGTGAATCTATCATGGAAAGAGACACGCGAGGTGCTGTATGTCAGATTGTTCGGTATGAGAAAGTGCAGGGGCCTATAATATTGATAAAGGAAGGAGAAGAACCGACTTATTTTTGGAGTGCCTTTTCGAGATTTTTACCTTTGATGGATAAATCCGGAAATAAAGTTGAAGTAGGGGAGTCAGCAGTTAAGATTTACCCTGGTAAGAGGATAGTGGAGTCATATAATGTTGATTTTGAGGTTTTTGAGAAGGCTATAAAGGGAGGCTTTGTCCCTCCATTTGCACCATCAGAGGATGAACATGAAACCCACCTTCCTGCTAGAGAAAGCAGTTGGAGCATGCTTAGATGTAAGTTTGCCTCTGGAGTAATGAAGGACTTTGTCACCGCACCAAAGATATTTTTCTCTAGGATGTATTCAGATTCCATGATGATAGTTCGTGCATCATCACCATCATCAGCATCGTCCTCTTCTTCTTCCTCACCTCTGTATCGCTCTCCTGATTCCAGTAGTTGTTCGAACTACTTTTCGGAGTCCTCTCTGGATTCACCTTTGGCTGTTTCTAGTTCTCCCCAATCTTCTTCAACTTCGCCTAATTTTTCTAGCTTGTCTCTTGTTTCATCAGAAACTTCTTCACACCCCAAATCTAATAGCTCAGGATTTGTCAGCGTCAATTTCTCTTCTCAACCTGAGGCTGCATCTTCACACCTGAAAACTGTTTCACCGTCCCTTGCAGAAGGGCGAGGCAGTTTGTCAAAGTCTCCGAAGCTGCCAGTGCTGAGTGATAATACAAGAGAAACAAATGATCAGTCATATTTTCTTGTCAAGCAAGATGGGGTCTGGATAAATGACAATACTAGTGCATCGTGCGAGTCGGATATTGAAATTGTCTTTGATTCCAGTCATGGTGTAAGAAATGGAGGGAATATTATGATTGAAGATTCTGATTTGAAGATATCTCCTCGTGGAAGAGCTAATATCGGCTCAGGTGATAAGGGATCTACTTTTGTTGGTACTTGTGAACCTCAAGGAATTCACAGTCACCTGGACGGTTTTGTTTCTGCTGTTCCAAATAGGATAGAGGAAAGTTTTCCTGCATGTCCTGGTGTAGTTAGACCTTTAGTATGGCGCTGGCCCGGCATAGACAAGATGAAAAAATTTAATAGAAGTGATCTAGATTCAAAATCTGCTTTTGCAATTTTTTCTCCGGCTACAGATGTAGGCATAAATAAAGATAGCACTCTATATTTTTGGATAGGGAGGTTTTTTCATTGTGACAAAAGCTTGATTCAGCTAGATAGCAGCCAAGTGCCAGGGTATAGAGAAGATATTGACTGGAACCAAGTTGGTTATGTTGTTCTAACTCGAGTGGGTTTGCCAAACGACACCCCTGTGAAGGTATGGACCAATGATATATATATTTGAAGCTTCTGATATGCTCCTTTTTGTTATTATGTTTACATGTGAAGTATGTGCATTCTATCCATTTGTAGATCATTTATGATTGCAATCGGCTTGCTATTCAAATGTTCAAACCAAAAGATACAGTTCTACTTATGGCAGGGTAAAATTAAGTTTGAGATGTCCACTTGTTCTCTTTGATGCTTTTGTTGTGGAAAGCCTATTTGCATTGTAGGAGAAAATTATAAGATTTGTCTCTGAACTCTGTTTTGCAGCACAACTGTTCTACTTCGTTATGATTCACCCCATAGAAAAGATGCAAATTATTAATAGTGCCTTCCGACCTTATATTTTGTACCTTAATCATTGATAACAGATTGTCAAAGAAGACGAAGAACCAACTGAATTGCTTGCGATGCTGAAGACACTGTAGTTCTGCAATTGAGTACAGACCTGCAAGCCAATAGATTTTATAAATTATCTACCCAGTTATTCACTTGGCCTATTTTTGCTCAAGAATTTCAAGCATCAAGCCTAGTTCCCATGGCAAAACAAATGAGGTAATTAACCTTACTGGTTGTATGTATTTTCGTCATGGTTTTCTTTGCAACATGGTTTAGCAGCTTTTATGCAGATTGGTATGGTAAACTTATGCACCTGCCAGCATCAGCTGCATGCAAGCATTTTAAGGCACTCCATATTATTCAATTAGGTTAAATTCTGTGCAGATATTCTAGTATTCTACAACATTGATATTCTTATGGTTGCTAGGCCTCAATTGTACATGATGTCCTTGAAAGTTCACTTCTATGTTGGTTGTTTTCACTTCATTAACTGAACTCCAGTTATAGTACATCAAGAGAATTTGTCCAAGATGTATACCAAAACATGTTGTCTATGAAACTATTCCTTAGGGGTGAATGTTTAGAATTTCACCATGGATATGAAAGCACAAGCATGAATTGGCGAGCGTTTTTAGCTGTGCAATTCAGAGTTTTAAACAATGTATGTTTTGAATTCTTTTGCGGTGGGCACCAAAAAGTGGAGATTCTTGCCCAACATGGTCTAGTAGCTTTTGACCATCATCTCTTTGAAAGGTTTTGGCTCAGTTTTACTTGAATAAAACTTGCAGTTGCAGACTTTTCACTTTTGAGTGCACATCTAGATTCTTTGTGAATCCATAGATTGTTACAATGTATGTTTATGATTGTTTGCAGGCAACTGCTTTTGGGAAGGATCGTGTGGCAATTCACCCTGGTTGTACAGCATTGTCGTTAACACCATTGTAACCGATAGTCATTTGTTCCACAGACTTATTTGTATATTTAGTGTTACTCTAAATCATTTGTTGCAGACAAAATAGATTCACTGCAATTTCCCCTCTTTGGTCTATTTTCATTTCTTCCAATTCTCAAAACTGTTTCAATTCTTAACTTTCTGCAAACGCAGGCTTTGACAGTAATTTCAGCAAATGCTGGATTCAGAAACTGCATCTTCTTTCATTGATTAGCATAAATAAGACATAACATTCGGTAAACAGTAATTTAAAATGTTTCATTACAATCGTATAAAAAACGTATAAAACTATCAAAGTTCTCTTAATTCTGTTATTACATTACAGGTTGAAGGCAGATTGACATAAAAACTGCTGAAGTTTAAAGAAAAACCAAAGAGCTTCTCTTCCTAGGCTTTTGAAAGATTTTCCCAAACTTAAGTTCAACCAGAATTTTCCTCTTTCATGACCGAACCACCGGAATTGCTTACTTCACTTCCCCCTGCTTTCTTCTCGACGAACATGTCGGTGAGTGCAGTTTTGGACTGCAACGAAGACTTCAGAAACTTTGCACCCAATTTTCACAAATAAAGCAAGTTTAAGCCATTGTCATTAAGGATTCAGTGTCAAGCTAATCTATAAACTTGTAATGAGACAAGAAGATAAACTTTTACCTCATTAACTCTAACACCAACGACTTTAAATTGCTGGTGACCCACAGCCTTAATGTTGAACTCGTTGAGCAAAGTGACGATAGATTCAGTGGACATAGCTTCACCACTAGATCATCCATTATCATGTAAGTTGCAGCTCCCTTGACTAAACCTACCTCACCCGAGTTTGAAGGCTTGCTCGTCGGATTCACAAAAAGTACTTCATAATTCATAGTATAACGACTGCAGGACGGACAAATGGTATTCGGATCATTTGTCACATTCATGTGACGTTCTGATAATTGAAATTGTCGCACCTATAAAGATTGGTGTATGATGAGGATTCCAGTCTAGGCATCAGGAGAGCAACATTAGCAGCATAGTTAGTAACCATTGGCTTCAGAAGGATTTCTTTGTTAGCTGCTGATTGCATGTAGGAATCGCTCAAATTTTCAGGTAATGACATGATATTAAAGAGAAAATCAACAAAATCTTTACCTGATTCAGCTAACACGAGCCTGTTTGATTTCAAGTCACTCAGAAGCTTTAGGCTGACACTAGTGGGACTTGATCCGGTCATTGGGAAAAAAAGAAGAAAACTAATGTGAGATCTTCACAGTTGTTCAATCAACGAATAATGTAAATAAGAGAGCCTAAGCAACTGTATGGATACTTTTATCTTCATTGGTTCTCAAACAAATAAAGTTGAAGTGAGAAACAAGGGATTCTTTCCTCCATTAATGGAAATAGTATAAATAATGTATAAAACTCAAAAGGCTACAAGGATTTCAGCTTTCACATTTGAATCAGATTTAAAGCAATGGAAGACAGTTTAAATCAAAGTTCTCCACATTCCATTGTTACATATGTGAATAAGAAATCTTCTAAAGGAACACATCGGTGAGAGCAGTCTTGGACTGCAAAGATGCCTTCAGCAACTCCACACCCTCGTTAATTCCGACAGCAATGACTTTTTTTTTCAAGCTCTCCGACATCCTTATTCTTGTACTTGTTGAGCAAAGCGACAATAAAATTAGTGGCAATAGGTCTCACCACAAGATCATCCGTGATCATGTAAGTTACAGCATCTTTGACAAAGCCTTCCTCAACCTTGTTTGGAAGATGGACAAAAGTGAACTTACCGTCCGTAAGTTTGTCACAGCGAGGACAGAAGGATTTCGGACCATTTGCGATATAAATGAGACAATGGATGCTCGTCACAGTGTCAACAGGTAATGACATGATATTAAAGAGATAATCAACAAAATCTTTGCCTGCTTTAGCATACAGAAGTCTTTGGGATTTTGGGGCTATCAGAAGCTTCAGGTTGACAGTGGTGGAAATTGGGGGCAGCCATGGAAAAAATACTGAAGGTAAAAGGCGAGATAATAACAGGATTTCAATACAGCTACTGCCTTGATGATATTAGCTGAGTCGAATTCTTTATATAGAGGTTAAATTGAAGTAAACCTACGAGCATAGAGAAGTGGAATGGTTAATGATCATATCCATAGCTTTTTGTATCAACTACATTGGAATTAAAGAAACTCCTTTAATGCTACATTGCAGGTTCAAATTATGTACAGATGAACTAGTGGAATGTCGAGAGTTCTCTGTGGTGAATGTTTCAATTTGTCCTTTCCAATTCTCGCTAAATGCATAGAGAAGCGGAAAGGCTAATGCATGTAAAACAAGTTTTGTTGAATTTCAGCGACCATAACCATAGTAACCAATTAAACGTGAACTCTTTACTTTCCAGTAGTATCATTGGCTCATGCACCGGAACAAGTTCAGTTGAAGTGATGCTTTGGAAGAGCTCATAAGTGTGATGAAGCTACACGGTGATCTTGATCCCTAAAACTGCTGATGTAACATTACCGAGCGTTCACTCTCAGAAATATAAGATGAGCTCCTTTCTCTATATAGTCTTGGATAAAACTATGGAGAAATGAAACAATGGAAGGGGCATATCACAGTGCCAACATGCGTGCAATGACATAACTCTGAAAAGAAAATCAACAAAATCTTCACCAGCTTCTGCATACACAAGCCTATGGGATTTTGGATCTATCAAAAGCTACAAAGTGTTAGTTGTTGGATTGGGGATGATTATAGTTTGAAAGATCTTTCAAATTTTCTTGTCTTCTCTTCAACCTCGACCTGTAACATTACTCTAATGGTGCCGTAAGCTTCAGATTTTTCTCTAATGGTGTCAAGGCAGTTACTGACGAGTTCTAGAGCATATTTGCGTTGGTTCAAAAGAATTCCCTAGATCTCAACACTTCAATTCAAAAAAAGAACTTAAGGTTCACATAGATCCTTCATCATTGAATTCCGATTTAGAATCCCTTTCAATTCCTTAATCAACATAGACCAATAAGACCACAATATAATTTCCTTGCCTACATGCTTGCTTCAAACCATAGAGACTTATGTACCCTACACTCCAGCATCTATCCAGACTTTTCAAGGAGCTGCTGCATATAAACTTCATTCAAATTCTCTTGTAAGAAAGTATTACAGAAATCCATCTGGTGTTTTGACCACTGAAATCCAGAAGCAAGAGCAATAACAGTTCAGTATCTATATAGTCAAATCATTCTTTCTGGTTCTAACCCTCGGTACAAACTTTAATTGAGATTCATATATCAAAATTATCAATACGAGACAGTAAAATTGTTTCAAAATCACACAACTACAATCACACCAGATGGAAGACACATATTTAAGTCAAACGATCTCCACATTCCTGGTGGAAGCCAACCGATTTTCATGCTTTACATATGTTCAACTTTGAACACCTTCCGAACTACACCATTACTACATACGAGGCAGAAGGCAATTGTCATTCAAAATGCAGAAGTTCAAAGATAAAACAAAAAGCTTCTCTTCCCAGACTGTAATTCAACCAGAAGTTCTCTCTATACCGGATTTGCCAACGTCGCTTTTCCCTGATTTCTTCCCGAGGAACACATCGGTGAGAAAGTTTTGGACTGCAACGATGCCTTCAGCAACTTCACACCCTATTTTCACGAAACCAAATGTTATGTTGTCCTGTAGAAAATAACATTAGACAATCATTATGGTACAACAAAAATATTGTTTTACCTCATTAACTCCGATGGCAACAACTTTTTCTTCAAGTTTCCCCACGTCCTTGATCTTATGATTGTTGAGCAGACTGTAAACCTAGTGGCAATAGGTCTCACCATTAGATCATCTGTGATCATGTAACTCACACCTTCTTTGACAAAGCCTTCCCCAACCTTGTTTAGTTTGACAAAATGGAAGTTACGGTTCATCAGATTGGAGCAGTTAGGACAGCGGGTTGTCGGATTATTTGCCACATATCGGCGACACTTGCCTTTGGAACCAACACCACAGCCATAGAGATTGGTGTACGATGAGGGTCGGATGGATGGCAACAAGAGCGATTCATTAGCAGCATAGCTAAAAGCTTACGGCTTCAAAAGGATGTTCACTTCAGCTTCCGACACCATGTAGGAACTAGACAAACCTTCGATGCTTGCATAGATGTTCCTAGTGCATCCAGGTGCTGCATGTTTACCGAGGAGCTTTACCACGGTGCCGACATGTAATGACATGATGCTGAAAATGAAATCAACAAAGTCTTTACCTGCTTCGGAAAATACGAGTCTTTTGGAGTTTGAGTCCATCAGGAGCTTGAGGCTGATGCTAGTGGGACTGGAGTCGGCCATTGGGAGAAAAGAAGAGAGAACTATTGTTTGAATGTGAGAAATTCTAAGACCCTTTGTTTTTAATTTTCTTTTGGTTTTTATAACGAGATGCATGGTTGCTGGTGGAGCTGGGCGTAGGGGGCTGGTGATGATAGCGTGTAGGGCAAAGTGGTGCCGTGCGGCAATAGGGTGATCGGTGCAATTAGTGCACTGACCTGATTTTGGGTTGCCGTGTCTACCACAAGCTTCAAGCTACCTTTTTAAGGTATAAACTTAATTTGAGTGTCACTTTTTTTTATGACAGTTAGTTTTATTAAAAATAAAAAATATTTAAAATTATAATGCATATTTATAAGTATAATTATAAATTAAATATATAATTAAAATTATTTTTTATAATTATTTAACAAGAATTATTCGCTTAGGATTACATAAGGATTTAATTAAAAAGTTTGAACAAAAGATATATATGAACATATCTGATTGCATAAACGAATCACAAAAGGAAATGAAGCTATTGAAAGATCAACAACATACTACAAATGAGAGTAAACGACATAAGAAAAGTCCAAATTTAATCCGATAGTTCAAAGCATAGAAGATCAACATGATAACAAATAAGCGTCATTTTGTTTGTTGTGATGATGTCAAATTCAACCATGAGAAAAAGATAAACGAAAACAACATCACACGACTGAAATCATACCAAAAGACAAAAAATATACCATAAAAACAAAATAAAAAACATGTCATAAAGATAAAATTATTAAAATTTTTTAAAAAATATAATTAAAGAAATAAATGAAAAATAAAAATGATTAATTATAGCAATTAATATTAAGATTGATATCATTATGATAAAAAAAAAAAGCAAAAGGGATAAGCGGCTAATTTGAGGGTGATTCTAACCCTACACAAATAGAGTATTTAAATAATATAATTACTTTAATAAAATTATTTATATATTTAAATTTATCTTTATTAATTATTTATTTGATAACGTAAAAATCATATATGATCATATGAGTTGCAAATTTTTTTGTTGAAAAATCACATTAGTATTTGATCTATTTATTGATAAATCCTAATCAAATATTATAAAGGTCCATTATGATCATACCTTCAAATTTAGTATATTATTCACAATAATATAATTGAAATTTTTAATTATATTTAAAAGATTAAGTATCTGATTCTACTAAATAATTATTTATTGCTTAAGTTACAACTTTTTTGACAAAGCCTTCCCCAACCTTGTTTGACATATTGACAAAACTGAAATTAAGGTCGGGATTTTATTGTATAGAAAAATAAAGGTAAAAAGATTATTTTTATCTTTGTAGTAGACTCAATTTATCATTTTCACTATTATCATATTTTCGTATTAATTTAGCTCTCGAAGTTGTTCAATTGCATCATTTTATACCATATTTCTCACTTAAAACCCTAAATTAAGCTTTAGGACTTTAAATTAGAGATTATGATTTATGGTTTAGGGTTTAGAAGTTAATGGGTTATGGTTTAGAGTTTAAGGTTATCAATTCAGGGTTTTAAGTTAGGGATAGGATATAGAATGATGTAATTAAATAACTTTGAGGATTAAATTGATACGAAAATACAATAAGAGCGAAAATGATAAATTAAGTCTACTACTGGAACAAAAGTAACGCTTAAGAAAAAATAAAATATACTAAGATTTACATAAAAAAACTCAAAAAAAAAACAGGACAGAGGAGAAGAAACTGTTCACTATGTTAAAAATACAAAATCTTTTATAATTGTTATATCATAGAACTCTTATACATACTTTTTATTTACAGGTATCAATCAGATTATACTATTCCGTACCACGGGAGCTACGAACCCCGCATCCCCGTCCTACTAGCCTCACTTTCCCACTATTTTGATTGTAATTTTATGGGTCAATCTAGGAAGAAATCGACTCATAACTTTAACAACACTTATATAAATGGGTGTATGCCGGGGTTGGATGGATGACAACAAGATAAGCAGCAAAGTTTAAAGCTTGAGGCTTCAAAAGGATGTGTTTGGTTGCTACTGATAGTGCCAATAGGCAATGACGGAATGTAGAACAGAGCCAAATTATAAATTTGGAATGACACTTGTAAGTTGAATATGCATAAACTAAAACAAGTTAAGAACATAACCCATACTTTTTATTATCAAATAATCAATTTGAGAAGATGACAGTTTCGAAATGAAAATTGAAAGAACAGAAGATGATAGATTGCTCGTTCAGTCCAAGATTTCAGTGCAGTGGTTGAGACTTTACAGAAGGCTCCTTCTTCCCACTAAGGAAAACAGTAGTAAGCACGGCCTTGGACCTGGACCAGATCAATGCCCTCAGCAATTCCACTGTCTATTTCACAAATAAAAGCAAGTTTAAGCTATTTTCATTAAGGATTCAGTGTCAAACTAATTTATAAACTTATAATGAGACAAAAAGATAATCTTTTACCTCCTTAATTCCAACACCAACGACTTCCACTTCGAGATCACCCACATCCTTAATGTTGAGCTCGCTGAGCAAAGTAATTATAGATTCAGTGGACATAGGCCTCACCACCAGATCATCCATTACCATGTAAGTTGCAGCTCCCTTGACGAAACCTACCTCAACCGAGCCTGAAGCTTTGATTGTCGGATTCACGAAAGTTACTTTATGTTTCATAGAACAAGAGCATGAAGGACAAATGGTATTCGGATTAGTTGTCACTTTTGGGCGACAATAGACATTATTAAAGTTGTCACACCTATAGAGATTGGTGTATGATGAGGGTTGCAGTGTAGGCAACAGGAGAGCTACATTAGCAGCATAGTTAGCAACCATTGGCTTCAGAAGGATATCTTTGTTTTCTGCTGATTGCATGTAGGAATCGCCCACATTTTCAATACTCTCATAAATGTTTCGAATGCACCCCTCTATTCCTTGTTTATTAAGGAGCCTTACCACAGTGCCAACGGGTAATGACAAGATGTTGAAGAGAAAATCAACAAAATCTTTGTCTGCTTCAGCATACAGAACTCTCTGGGATTTTGGGGCTATCAGAAGCTTCAGTCTGACAGTGGTGGGCCTGGGAGCAGCCATGAACTAATACTAATTGTAAAATGGTGAGATAATTTTGCTTGCTTTATATAGAGATGTTTCCTTCAGCATAAACATGATATTGAGAAAGAATCGGAAAGGACAAAAGGAACATTCACAAAAGAAAACTCTTGACTTTCCAGTAATTCATCAGTTGTTTGAACCTGCCATGTGAACATTAATGGAATTTTCTTTATTACTAACATTAAACTTAGTTGAATCCGTCACTAGGAGAATCAGCAACAGCTCATACCTCATAGGACGCTTTGCCTAACCTTTTTCATATACGAGCAAAAACAATAAGTAACGAAGATTTATGTGGGAAAATAGGCCTTAATACGTGGCTCGAACTCCGTGCCTAAAACATGGAAATCAAACAAACAAGTTTTAACTGAGCCAGCTCGAGTAGTTCAAGTTTTACTTGAAATCGAATCGAGAACTTTTGAACCTGACTAGACTCAAGCCAAGCTGTCTGGAGATTAGGGATGTAAATAAATTGAGCCAGAACGAATAAGGATGAGATGGTGTTCGTTTATTTATTTTTGAGAATGTTCGTATTTGGTTCATGTTCGTTTAAAATTTTAAATATCATATTCGTGTTCGTTTGCTTATTTTTTAAGGTGTTTGTGTTCGACTCATTTAACGTTCGCAAACATATTCATTTAACGTTGGTTTATAGTTCAACAACCAGCTCTTTTTATCCTTCTATTTGAAGGCAAAGAAACATGGTGAAACTATGCTATTAATCCTTAAATTTTTAAACTTCACAGTTTTAACTCCAAAGTTTACCCAATATTCAATTTAGTCCATACCTTTAATAATATTTAAAATATAAAAAAGGAAAAAAGGAGAACAAGTACACAAGTTTATAAATAGTCGATGAATGAGCTTATAAACGAGTCAATAAATGAGATTGTTCATGAACATAAATGTACCAAATATATCTTTATTCGTGTTTGTTCATTTATTAAATAAATATAAAAGTTTTGTTCATATTCATTTATATAGATTAATAAATGAACATAAATAAACCTTATATGAACATGCAAAGTCATTCTTTATAGATGCAGGCAAGCCTCGAGATCACATTTGTTTAATGTTTATGACAAATGATACGGAAAGACTTGGTTTATGAATAAAAATGCAGATGGGATTGTTGTGTTACCTATATGATCATGCAACAGTTTCAATGTCCAGGGTTCTTGAAGAGAAAGTCATTGGTATGAGAGTGAATCAGGTAAAGCATCCAAAGAATGCTTAGATTTCCTGCTAAAGAAACTAGGCATATCTATGGAGGTAAATAATTTGTAAAACTTGCACGGTTGTTTAAAAGTTAAGAATCTTATCCAGAAAATTAAGGAGTCTTGAAGATAATGGATAGAATCCCTTGTTCTTCACTTCAACTTAGTTATTTATTGATCTCAATTCAAAGGACTTACACACAAACACATGGCTGCCAACACCGTTAGCTTGAAGCTTCTGGTCGACTCAACAAGCCAAAGAGTTCTGTTTGCTGAATCCGGCAAAGATTTTGTCGATTTTCTATTCAACATTCTATCGTTGCCGATCGGCACCGTCACGAGGCTTCTCACGAAACACGACTTGGCAGGTTCACTTGGAAACCTGTATGACAGCCTTGAGAACATGAATGACACATACATTCAGCCATCAGCAAACAAAGAAACCCTTTTAAACCCTGTAGTTCCCAACACTACTGCAAATGTACCTCCTCTGTTGCCATCCATCGAATCACCGAAACCCGTCGGTATTTATCGGTGCGGTAACTTTTACAATAAAAACTGCCTTCCCTACGTTACAACAGACTCTACGTCCATTTGTCCTTCCTGCAAAAATGTCATGAACCAAAATGCATCGGTTGTTAATCCGAAACGGAAGGATTCATCCACCGCTGACGACGGAGGTTATGTGAAAGGAGTGATTACATACATGATCATGGATGATCTTGTTGTACGGCCTATGTCAGCCATCTCTTGTATTACTTTACTCAACAAGTTCAATGTCAAGGATGTTGGTGTTCTTGAGGAGAAAACCATCGATGTGGGAATGGATGAGGTAAGAGATAATCCCTTCTCTTTTACTGCCTTAATTTTGATAATATGACATTGTTCCCCCCCCCCTTTGCAAATAGGGTGTGAAGTTGCTCAAGGCATCGTTGCAATCCAAGGCCGTGCTCACCGATGTGTTCATCGAGAAGAAAGCCAGCAAAAACGGTGACGTTACCGGTTCACATTCGATTATTATATAGGAAAGGCTGGTTGAATTCCAGACTGCAAGATTGTTTCAAGATTATCTCAGTCTAGTATGAATTACTGGTTCTATGATCTGTTATTTCATAATGGCGTGGTTTGAAAAACCTTTTAAGGTTTACCTATGTTAAACATAGGTTGTTGTATTGCTTACTTGATATAAAATATATATAATTTTTATTTTTATTCGATAAAATAAGTATTTAAATAGAGAAAATATAGAGTGAAATATATTATTGTAATTATCCTTGATATATAATGGATAATTATAATATTATTAAATCAGATCAAGTCAAATTTTTTTTCCTAAATTCAAATATGATTTAAATACATTTTTTTAAAAAAATTCAACTTTATAAAATTGGGTCAAATCAAAACTCGTTGGATCTCGATCTCATATTCATCCCTACATTTAGCAACACCAAGACGTTACACACTACATTAACTTATCCAAAAAATGATAATTTTTAACGATCGACTTTGATGAAAAAAGTGAATTGGTCAAATTTCAAAAATATAAAAAATTAATCAAATTAAAATAAATCAGAAACATAAATAATATTTGAAAGTTTTTTTTCCTCCTACTTCTAGAGCTTCGCCTTGATTAATCTGGATCGACCAACCTCACACACCTAATTTTAATAGATAAATCTCCCTATTGGCAAACTTTATTTTTTTCAAAATCATACCAAACATTTAATTTAGATTTCATTTTAGTTCTCCATTATTAAAAAAGTAACAATACTGTTAACGCGACATTTTTCTATTTTTTCAATGATGAAATGTCATTACCTTATTGTGACACATAAACATCACTGTCGTAACCGGTTTTCGTCCGGGCACGAAATTTTTACTTGGCGAGAAAAATAATATGAATAAATGGTTTTTAAAATGTTTTGGGAGTCGCCATCAGCCTTTTGGATCAGGTAGGTCGAATACCTAAAAATTATCTTTTAAAAGAGTTTTTAAGAAAACATCAGTTAAAAGATAAACTGTCTCTATTATTAGAAATTAAACATTCAAAGATATATTTAATTTATAATCATGTTATTTCAAATTTATTAATATAATTTAAAGAAAATATATTAATATATATATATATATTTTCTTAACATATTTATTTATTTAGAAATATCAGAAAATGACTTCTAGGTGCTTTAAGACAGCTCTTTCCTTAAAATAAATAAATAAATATTAATAAAATAATAAAAATAATAAAATATTAGATTAATGTATATAATTGATAAAAGTAAAATATTTATTTAAAAATATCAGAAAATGGACATCCAATTGTTTTAAGACTGTACTTTCTTAATATTTAAATATTAAAAATAATAATTTTCTCTAATAAAATAAAACAATATGTATTTTCTTGTTTTTATAAGTATTATATTTATTTATTTTAAAATATCAGAATAGGACATCTAGTTGCTTTAAGACTGTCTTTTTCTTTGATATTAAAAATAAATAAATATTATCAATTAAACAAATATATATATATATATATATATATATATATATATATATATATATATGACTAAAATAATAATTAAAGTAAACATTTAAACATATTGGAACTGAAATGATAATAATACAAATTAAATTGCAATTAAATATTGACTAAAACATATTAAAATAATAAAAATTAAAATTTTACAGCCCTTATTTATATTATTATAAAAATATAATTACTAATGATGTAATTAACCCTAATTATTAATAGGTGATTAAAGTGATCATTATTAAAATTAAAGGTTCTAAATCGAATAATAAAAAGATCTAAGTGCTAATAATGTAATTTAGCCTTATTTAATTAATTCGGGTTAAAATGATAATTACTAAACTGTAAGGGACTAAATTAGGTATTTACCCTAAATAAATATATATGTAGATAGGGACTAAAAAAAAATAAAAAAAAATTACGATATTAAATTAAAAGGATAAGCAATTAATTCTTGTGACTAAATTGCAATGTTATGAATCTGTGGGTGTTGCGGAAATGATTTTCCCAAAAGGGAAATTACACAGATACCCTCCCCCAAAACAGCGTCATTTGGGAGAGGGTATAAATACCCTAAAATCGGCCTAAAATGGCCATCTCCTCTCATTTTCGTTTTTCAGTTTCTCTCTAAAACAGAGAGGGAGACCACCGGCCGGCAATCGTGCTCCGGCGTCGGTCACCACCGTCGGCCACCGTCACGGTGGCCGGAAAATCCCAAAATACCCAAAAACGGAGCTCTAAACCCCATAAAGCCGAACCTAGCCTTAGTTTTCCTTAAAAATATCCTAATCGGAGTAAATCTAGAAAACAAACCGACGATTTTACCTCAGTTTTTACACAGTTTTCGGCTATGCTTAGGCTTCCCGAGGGTAAGTCTTTTCCTTTCTTCTCTCTTTGTTTTCGATTCGCTGCTATGGGTGTTGTTTGGCTCGCTGTTGTGGTCTGTTCTTCGTCTCTCATCTCTTTTTGCTGTCGATTCTGTTTTGGTTGCTATGTTCTTCGTTCTTGCTCGCTGGCTTCTCTGTCTCGCAGGTGTGGTGGCTTTTATAGCCACCTCCAGTGCTTGTCTTGGACCGGTCACAGAAGGGTTTCTCGGTGAGTCACCATATCTATGGTGGTGACTCACCTTAGAGCTCGACATGGGGCGATGACACAATACTTATGGAGGCTTCATTGAGACGGCGTAGTGGCAGCAAGGCGTCGGCAGTATCTGGTTAGGTCACCTGGCAGTGGAA